GTTTTACAGTGTCAGAACAGTTTAACGATGATAGACAGGTATGCGAATGACACACTATGTCAGTGAATGATTGACTTCCATTACAGTGAAATATGTACGCACTTGTTACTGGACAAGTGAACAAATTCGATGCGTTTATTTTAATACACTGTAATTTTTAACATCGATTATTTTAGATTTTTACGTTTTAACATTTTTACAGGACATAAATAATTTTCGTTTTTACGTAAAATACAGGTAAAATAGATTTCCTCGGATTGCATTTTTGTAATTTGAATTTCTACATTCAAAATTTCTTTCTGATTGTTAAAAAGTTTGAAAGCAGGTCTTGTTTTAGCTTTACCGGCGCCATGGGCGATATTTCTACGACGCTCTTATGGGTTGGCTTGTATTACAGTTAGCTGTAATACAAACCCATAAGAAAAAGGCGCCTTTTCATGCACCCATGGCGCCCCCTTTTCCGGCGCCCTGGAAATCGCCCCGTCTCGCCCTACGCTAACTACTGTGTGATGGTAAAAATTAAGTGTCAATGTATAAAAGCTGAAGTTTTTCTCAGACTAAATGTTTAGTTAATAGTTCCAAATGCCGGGAAATAAAACTCTTAAATTTATTCAAAACTTATCCGTTAAGGATTCGACGTTTTTATTCCCAAAGTGCACTCGAGAGTTGGTATTTTGCGCGGCATCTTGTTTACATAACGCTTCTCTCGTGTATTCGTAATGTCTTTCGAATACTATTGAATGCAAAGTACGATAGAAGCCATGAACTATGATAAGCTAGATGCGGTATTGAAATTTTATTTTAAAAATCACGAGAGTAAAGATTAGTGGCTGAAAATGTAAATGCAGGATGTTGAAGGATCCTTTTTATTATTTAATATCCTTTTCTATTAAGTAACTTATTTATATGGATGTTTGGTTAGAACACGTGTACAAAGGTTTATTAATAAAATAAGATAACAAACAATATTGTTTTAAATCTAAGTGTTCCAGCAATAGTTCGCATGGATGTTTGGAGTTTGTAGCCTAAACTGCTGTACGGATTTTGATGAAATTTAGTGGAAGAACACAAAGTCGCGGGCAAAAGCTAGCTATATTTGATACTATTTGGGTATATTTTTTTTCTATTAATTAATATTTATACCGCATCCACAATATATCTTTTTATCAATGTATTGCGCAATGTTCCGTGAAATGCAAGAAACTACACGGCTTGTTTGCTCTCCCTCAAATAATACCATTTATAAAGATATATTTTATTCTACATTTTCCAACAACTGGAACATATTTTAATTGATGATTATAATAAAAAAAATTTAGGTCTGCTTTAATTCTAAGACATTGTTAGCTGTTGCACTTAGTGATTTGTGAGGTCCCTTAACATACACTATCTACCCTAAGCAACTGTCTACATTAAAGAACTATAAACGCGGAATAAAATGACATTACATTTCTGTAATAATGGTATTTTTTGCTTGTATTTTGTAAAAGGAAATATGCGTATATATATCCTTTTTATTGGCATCAAAAGATCCGTGCATTGATTTTCAATACAATAAAAGTGAAAATTGAATACCAACGAAAAGCACTGGAATGGAAGCTTTAAAAAGAACTCTCCGATTATTTGCCGTATATTTTCATTCATAAAAAAATAACCTGCATACAATGCTTAGAAGTTCTTTATTGCCTCGCCTTTTTAATACATTTTTAGATGCAACAAATCATTTCGCAGTAAAACCTTGCGGATTTACAGTCTATATTATTTATCAATACAATAGCGGTACGTTCCTTAAATAATTATCGTCTCTCTAACTATTAACAATAACATAAGCTCGTAACAAACGTGTGACTGATGATGTAACTATGACACGTGGCTAAATTTGTTTAAATATAACAAACGTGTACAGGCAAAAACGTGTAAGATATATCAGCTGATCTAAAGTGACCTGTAGCCTGCAGTTGAGTTAATTTACTACATTCTAGCTTTCGCCTGCGACTCCTGCCGCGAATTATAAAAAAAATGTGGATGAGGAAAATATAAAAACGCAATTTAAAAAAAGTTGCTTGAAATAAAAATGATACACCCAAATAGTAACAAGTTTAAGTCAAATTTCATCGCGATCCGTTTAGCCGTCGGGTTGGAAGCTGTAACAAACAATCATTCATCTAAACTTTCGCATTTATTAGTAAGAATAAAATAACAAGTTTATTAAACTATCGTACAGACCTCAAAAAAATCTGTGCAAATGTATAACATTTAGGAAAAGGGCAAATCGAATGGCACATTACTAGTCAAAATCGATCCAATCGATTAAGAACTGTATGTGCATACATAAAAACTTTATCGAATAATCGCGTAAATGCTCTTAAAATAAGCTTAAAGAATAAAATTATAGTAGACTATACTGTCTATTGAAATTAGCAAACAATTTTCTTCCAACTAAAGTCAGAAGTGCAAGTTTAGTTGAAGCAATTATAGCTAACTCCAAACACCAATCGAAGCTTCGGCTTACCAATTAACAGAATCCCATTTAGTTTCTCGCTACAAACGATATTCTTACAAGCTATAATACCTACTCATCGTGAGACTTTAACTGGAATTTTTTTCAATGGTGATATTTCATTATTTATTACAAATATAAATGAAAAATGCCTTATTGTTCCACAAAATTTCACAAGTTTTAGGAAGCTGCCTCGTAAGGTAGGTAACACCAATTAAATATTAGTACTTTAATTGCATAAGAGAACTGTCGTAATAATTTCTTATGAAAGAATACGAACCTACGTATCCAATAAAGAAATAATTTCAACAAAAGAATTAAATAAATAACATGTCAGACATTGAAACAAATATAATCATGATGAAACGCTTTCAAATTACTTAAATAGCAACTGCAAGTATTTGTCCATTTCCGTTTAATTTATTTTTTAATACAAACTTACATGCAAAGGTTATCTGCTTCAGTAACAATAATAACAAAGGCAAAACTTATCTTTAATTTGAAACACAAGTTACTGCAATCGTATTATTCAAATGAGAAAGATTGTATCACAAAATATTTTATTCCAGACTTTTGTTTACATAAAATATCAAATTGTATAAGTTTTGTTTAATATATTAGGGGTTTTTTTACTTTAAAACCACAATTTCTTCTAAAAATGGATCCATTTTACATAGCAATTAAATTATTATCCAATATTTCAGTGTTAGCCAACATTTGGGATGAAAAATTTAATTAAAACAACAATAATTAAGTTAATTCATCGTTGAAATTAAGATATAAGTTTAGTCATATTTCTAAGCAACATCATCTAACTTAAGAACAACTTGGATCACTTAAATTCTCCTAAGTTACCAAGGAACTAACATAAAGTGAACGTGAGCTAGGAATGGCAACAAACATGTTCCATAATTCTAATAAAATTATAATACACTATTTACTTTAGATAAAATAAACCATACGTCATACCTCCATTCATTTTTGACCGATTTCCCAAACTACTACTATATACAATAGTTCCAATACACTACTATACTTTCAATTGTCAATTGTTATGGTAAAAATGTAGAAAGCCTTACGTATAAATATCACTGCATACTTCGGCTGACACCGACATCAAAGTAATAATAATTGTACAATATAGACATAACAGCTACAATGAGGGAGGTTTACTATTTTCAAGGAATTGTTTCGTTACTTTTTAGTGTACTGTTTTTTTGAAAATATTTTGTTTTTAGTGTATTATGTTTGGAAGTCGATTTGTATTTTTTTTATTAAAAAGTTTATTTATAAGAATGATTAAATATAAACTGACTTATTATTGTAGTTGAAAATATTAATTTTTAACTTCTCGTTTAATTTTCAAAATTACCTCCGTACTATTTCAGCTGCATTGAAAAAGTCCCCACTTTGAGTTAAGAATTTTTTTTAAAAACGGAAATGAACCAGTCACACAATAGATGTCGTTAGGCGCGACGTGAGAAACGGAAAGCAATTTGCAGCGGTACAGTCTAGCGAAATAAAAATCCATTACACCTTTAACCACTAGACAAAAAACACTAAATTAAATTTCGAAAGACATTTTAAATTTAAGAAAAAAATATAAATTTCAACTTACTATAATTGATTGATTGAAATTAAAAAAAAAAACATTAAATGTTCATAGTCTGCATATTACCAAATACCTTCATTTGTGTTGTAAATTATAATAAAAATGTTCGAAGTTAGATTTTTATCTCTTCAAAGGTTATAACAATGATAAAGTTATTCACGTTAAGTTCAGAAGTGTTTAAAATGGAAGATTTCCATCATTTAAAGGAGAAACAGTAAGTCATTAGGAGTGTAAATTGTATATTTGAATTGATAACTAGCAATTATCGGATAACTCATTAGAAATGTGAACCATGGCCCCATATTCAACAACAGATCAAGAAAATATAAATAACAATAAAGAGAATTACGAAAAAGATCAAGAAATTAAAAATCTATACAAACATGAAAATGATACTAATCAAAATAATTTAATTAACATAAAACAATTGTGTTTTATAGAAAAGTATACAAACGAAGATTACTCTAATTATTTCAAAGAGATTCAGAATTTTACAACAAATATGGCAACTTATGCTCAATATGTGCCTCAACAAATTTACAATTTTCCAATAACATTCTCCACAAATGATTGGAACCCAATATTAACATTACCTACGTCTGTTTACACATCTGTACATCAAGTACCTTTTGTAACATTACCTCAAACAATAAATCCAGCAATTGTACCATCGTTATGTCCCTGTGGCACCATTATTACAGAACCTATGATAACTGTTGTTTCTCCAACAGTTATATCAGAAGCTGTACAAATTCCAGAAACTTACTATGAACCACTAGTAAATTACATACTTGATGCTGATCCTATCACATCCCCGTGTTCAAACGGAACAATTGTCAACGGTCCTCACGAAGAAATAGAGAAATCGACACCAATTGAATCAAGCAATTCAGATGGAATTGAAGAGTCAATAGAATGTTACCTAAGACTACCGAAGGAATTATTTCCTACCGCAAGAATGTTTACCATAGATCCGAATCAAATCATAGATGTGTTCTGTGATCAGAAAGATATAAGCGACCATACGCCTTGGTTACTAGATTTGGAGTTTGGATTGCCTAGAGCAGCTGTCACCAGACATATTCCTATTTATGATGTCCAGTTCAACAGTGTCCATTGTAAGAACACACCAAGTGCGATACATCCAGGCTTCGAGAGATGCAGTAAAGGTTTCAAAAGAGAGCTGCTATTTTACTACGACTGTATCGTCTCCACTTGGTACAAAGGTTATGTCGCAATGAAGAATGACACGTCCGTGAAAAATTTCCAGACATGGTTACTAAAGGCGATGCAAGTATTTGGAATGTGTTGGCCATAACACGCATGCATGGTCAACACTTGTAAATATGCAATTGTAAATATGATTTCATATCATCAAATAAATTTTTTATCAATTTGAAATCGTTGTTTCCTTTAAAAATCCAGCTTCAAATAAATTCATACTCTTCAGTCCATTCTATTCATGGTTGAATATGAGCTAGTCATCCTTAACTAAGAACTAAGAGTCCCTCAATGCGGACGTTCGGGCTATGTTGTTTGTCATTCTCATTTCGATTAGATTTATTTTTCATATGACCTTGTGATACTTTATCCAATATTTTTAAGACGATCTTACTTAATATTTATTCTCTCTTACTCATATCCTTGTCTCATTTTCCATGCTAATGTTGTGCAACAAATTTTTTTTCTCCATTATGTTCCTTTTAGGCTTCCTTAATTTATTATGTTCTCCATATCAACTATGTCCCATCCATCCATCCATATAATTAAAAAATCTGGTTATCTGGATCAGTAGAAGTGATGTAACATCTACCTGCCTTCATCTACGTATATTTAAATCCTCTAACGGCCTCGGTATTTCTAAACGGGGCATTCCGGACGTACAATTGATTCGATTTCATGACCGCAGCTATACGCGTAATGAATAATTAGATTCGCTATTTGCAGGCGCCGCAGCTGACGTCAATTAATTGAAGGCCTACGTAACCCCGACTCATTAAACGATGCAATCAATAATTTAAAAAGAAAATTTTTCTAGTACTTTTCGCGTTGCAATTTAAAGACTTTATACATTTTCAGTTTTAACCTTCTTGTTGAGAAACGAGATAGTATTGTATGTACAAGGTGTAGAGCTTTTTATACTTTTTTAAGATTTTATTGTGACATGTGCTAATTATAGAAATGAATGTGATCGTACAGAGAAATATATTTTCAATTCGTAACCATTTTTATTAAACACTTCTGTTATAAGTTTTGCTTACACAAGTCTGCTTTAAATCCACAATTCGACTATACAATTAAACTAAACGATTGTAGCTTTAAGGTAGGGCTCCCTCAGGAAGTACGAAAAACAGGCATTTTTCAGTGTAAATTATATCGAGCTGGTTCAGTGTATAATCTTGAAAAAAATAATGTGCGTAGATGGATATTTAAACTGTTATATTATCCGAATACATTTTTAATTATCGGTTCCATTTATAAGAAATTTAAAAGGAATTTCGTCAGTGTATGGTTAGATATCTATTTAAGAGTAATTAAAATATTTTAGCAAGTTTACTGTAATCAAAACTTTTGTCTATCGAAAATAATATTTCTGTTCTGAGTATGTGATTTTTAATAAGATTTATTAAGTACTGGCTGTTCTCGTGCGGTTTCATCCACATAAATTTATGAAAATTTTATTTTATTGTTCACATTTGTCAAATTATCAATAGCAAATGTCAAAATGACATGACATGAAGACAAACCATTGCAATCTTACTTCTTGATGTTGGCAGCAACTTATGTTCTCTTTCCCACATTAAGGTTTTTATCCAAAATATATACCCCCTAAGTTTAATGGCGTGAAAATATATAGCCTAAAGTGTGACGTAAGTGTAGGGCTTTTAATAGAAAAAAGAATTATTCAAAAATATTTTGTAATTGCTGACATCTTAGGCAACAAAGAAGTGTTTGTTTACGCTTTATTATAATAAGTATAGATTAAAAAAATAAAAGAAAACCAATAAATTCGTTTCCATGTTTAATTATTTAACAATATAATTATGTGCAAACATACAATAATATAATCAACGATATCATAAACTATTCATTCAAACAAAATTATAATAAAATATACATTAGAAATAAAAATCACTTTATTAAATAAATTACAAACTAAACTTTATGTTTCAACAAACTGCGATTTGGTAATTTGATTTCACATTACTATTAAAAATACCTTAAACTAAAACTAATCTATTTAAAAATATTTATGAAAAACTTAAAACTAAGTTAATACAGGTAGAGTATATATTTTAATTAAACTTACAAATTAAATACAAGCCATTTTATTATAATGCAATACAAAGATATTTTTTTTAAACTATACAAAAATTATGCAAACGAAAATGATCTGAGAGTATTACATTCGCTTTATATACAAAACCATTTGTTGTAAAAACAACTAATAAATAATACTGCAAAAGAATACAAAACCTAAAAGGCAAGAAAAATTGCAATTATCAAATATTTACAACTTAAATGCATTGTCAATTTAACTAATAAACTAAATAAAATTATAAACTCCTTTTGTTTTATTTACCTGTTTTGTATTTATAATTACAAAAATTACATTTACAAAAAAGGTAATTAGTATACAAAAATATTTACAAAAGCCGTAAAATATGTGTATTTCTTAAAACTAAGCATGTGTTGAAAATAAGCTGGGATTGTAAGGGCGTTTATTATAGGTCCAAGCCTGATTATTAAACCGTATAGAAGCTTGAAATGCAGAATTGCAAAACAAGTCCTGCATAGCTTCTTGGTAGACTGTTTAGGGCTGCCACCTTTTTGAGTTTAACAGAATTATTCTGGTAATAATCAATCCAGCTACAGATTTGGCATCAAAAGAAGTCATTTAAGGAATGTGTAGACATCGTTTTCGTCAAGTTGGCAACCCTAAGACTGTTCCTAATAAAACGCCTCAGAAAACGTTGAGTTTATCAACATTTTTGAAGGTAACTTGCACTGTTTCGTTAGTTCGATCGTTTCGTCCATTAAATATATATAAACATATGTTCATCACTGTTTAACACTACGAGCTCACTGTCTGTAATATCCACGGTACGAATTTAGATATCCTAGTGCAGACTCCGGGTAGATTTGCTTCCCCACAGCCGATACCCCAACTTATTATGCCAGCTAGGAAATATCTTTGATCCTTCCCTTTGACCTGAAAGATAAAAACAAATGGATGATTTAAACTAGATGGCGCTGTTCTCAATTTTCAATTTAACATTAAAATTTAAAAGTAAAATACAAATCACATTGAAAGATTTAATTATACTGATTTAAGAAATAAAACTTTGAACTCTTTTTAGTTTAAATAAATAAATAAGCATTCTTTATCCATCTAAAAGAGGTTGATTCCTGGTCATACTAGGGCCGATTTGCTTTCGTCTTGATCTCACCAAACGAAATGACTTCATCTAACAGTAAAATTAACTAGGGAACTAAAATTCCACGTCACGTATCACTGCTCATGTATGAACGGCGTCGTTTGGCGGCTCTCAGCACTTACGGTATAATAGGTGACGCTGGTAACGTGGCTTAATGTTTGTGGCTTGTCGCCAAATTCAATATTCAAATGATAAGACTAGGCAAGAGGTCTGAAAGTGTGCAATTCATATGTTACATCTAATTTTACTGAAGATGTTCTAACGGCTAATAAACTGAACATATTGGAAGTGTTTAAATGAAATCGTTATTCAGATTTATGTTTAAAACCTTCCTACATTTTGTTCTAATATAGTTTTTAATGAATGCAGATAATACTATAGTCTCTTTAATTTAAGAACCTATGATCACCGAGAGCGTCGGTGGCTCAGTGGTTTAAGCACTTGAATTGTAATCTACAGGTCTTGGGTTCGAATCCCGCTGTACCAATGTGATTTTCGATTTTTCGAAATTTCATATGAACATAATTTACCCGACGTTTTTACGGTACACATATCAGCGAAGAAATTCAAAGATATGTGTGATGTCAAACAACCCACACTTTGCCAGCGTGGTTGACTATGGCCTAGTCACTCCTTACTTAGGGTAGGCTCCGAGCCCCTCAGTGGGGACATATAGTGAGCTGGTGATGATGATGATGATCAGAATATCCACATAGATATATCTAACACCCCCGTAACTAAATGAAATTATTGTCAATAAATGCCTTGTTTAGAAACATTGTTGATCATTTAACGTCTAAAGATAGGCAGTTTATTCACATTCAAAATATGCAACTTACTTGTAGCGGTCCCCCGGAGTCCCCCTGACACGAGTCGTGTCCCCCTCTCTCGTGTCCCGCGCACAGGAATATGTCCGGGATGAACTCGTGTCGTCCCGCGCGCAGGAACATCGACTTGCAGCGCTCGTTCGATACTATCGGAACTTGTACCTGCAATACATACCAATATAGTATCCAACATTTGGTAAGAACATTTCGCACCTTTATTAATAAATAGAATTAACTCAAAGTTTATGTTTTTGGAGTATTTATTATAAACATTATTTTTGCGAGAAGAATACGACTTAGTTCAACTCGCGTCACAACATAATGAAAATAAAAGATAGAACGTATTTTTCTCTCGTCACAAATCTCCTGTGTAAACCAATAGTGTAATGGTTTGGGGTACGGACTACCGATCTTGCGGTCGAGGGCTTGAATCTCGTCATTCGACTATTGTCGTGAACCATATCTTAGCACAAGCCTAAAACTTAGTGAGATTGATTAATAGCAATATAAGTGAATTAATAAAAAAATTGCCACCTTATAATATAGAAAAAGAAGTTCGAAGTCAATTACCCAATAAACATAAATTTTGAGTAACATGTTTTTGTGAGGTTTATATATTTTCCAAAGAAAATGAGAATATTTGTGTACAGATCTCAATGTATTAGTGTACCTCTTGTAAAACTGAAGGTAGCACACCGCCTTCAGACAGTCGTCCCCATCCAGTGACAGTCGCGTTCTCACCAACCAACAAGTCATCAGTCGCGGGCAGACAAATAGGCGATATATGTGGCGCAAACTGCACAGGTGAGTCCAACTTCACCAGCGCCAAATCGTATTCATAAGTGAAGAAATTGTACTTCGGGTGTACCGCCTTCCTCGCGACACCGCGCTCCACGAATGGATACTGCTCTGATACCGACGAGAAGTCGTATTCACCGACACGTATCCTTATCTGTGACGTCAGCAAGCTGAGAAACAAATGAATAATTAACAAAGAAGTGCTTTAGAGCGGACCGAGCACACCTTTGATTAAACTATCGCATAACTGTGGCGATTGTCGATTGTTTCGCAGCCAATTCAACTGTTTAGTTGCACAACTAAAAATCGAGTAGTGTGCGCACATCCATATAGGAATCAGAACGCGACTAGACAGTGGTGTGATGGTTTAGTTAAGGTGTGGGCACGTTTAGTGTTAAGATGAGAATGACATTCAATAACATGTCACCATTCAGGAAAGAAAAACATCATTAACAACTTGTTAGTAACAACTATCCAAACAAAATTCGTGTTTTGTTGGTAGATAAAGAACAGTTAAAAGATATGAATAAATTGTTTAGAAATAAAGAATATTAAAATTATTATTTAATTAGAATAACATTTTAATATCTTTTATCTTTATCTTACGTTTTGTTATAGTCGTAATTTTAAGGGCAAACAATTTACTGCATCGAGAGCAATGAAATTTATTTGAAAACATTAAAACAAAGCGAATGGCGGTCACTAACAATTTTATCGACAATAAAGGTAAGATAAACAACTTGGAGCGTATTTATCTTAAATCTAATAGTGTTTTGGTATTGCCAACGAAACTGGAATGAGCCTCGGAGATACATTACAGAGATTAAAAATTTGAAATACAACCAAAATGCGTTCGCGCGAACGCCACGAAATTCAGATACGTATGCGAACTTTAGCTATAATATAAATAAATTGCTGTTTTGTATTTGTTTGTATACTTTAGGAACATTGTTTTGGCGACAGGTATATTATTAAATTTATATCTTTACAACATTCTTTTGTCTGACTTCTATTGTTTTTTAATCTTTTTTGTTATTATGTATAGTAAAGTTTTACATACTCGTCAACGCAGTGCCCCGCAGTGGCTATCCAGCCTTCGTTGATGATGGCGCCTCCGCATCGGTGGGTGGATGAAAAGCCGAAGAAGGAATTTCGTCTAACAGAGACTTGCCATGGCCACCGTCCAAAGCTGGAGTCCTGGCCGCCCATGATGCGCGTCTCCGGACGCGGCCACATGGCCGTAACACCACACTCTGGAATACAGAAATTGTGAACTAGTAGTAGATGTTTCGGGAAGAATATTAGTCGAATCATCACTCATCCCCATAGGTATATCTGTGAAATCAAAGGTTCAGTGACAATCGAAGTTATAAAGTGAATCTATTCGATGTCGATGCTAGCACGTCATTAAATCTATACTAATATAGAGCGCAAACACACACATACTTGTGTAATGTGTATGCAACCTACACATATCGACGAATAAATTCAAAGATATATGAAGTCAATCAACCCGCGGTGGGCCAGCGTGGTTGACTATGGCCTAGTCACCTCTTACTTAGGATAGGCTCCGAGCCCCTCACGTGGGACATATATTGAGCTTGTGAAAATGACAGACATATTTGATATGTAAGTCAGCAATCACAGCATATTTTTGATAATTATTTTTTTAATAAAATGCCCTACACTTACATCACACTATAGACTATATATTTTCACGCTATTTAATTAAGGATGTGAATTTGAACAAAAATAGCATGTGAGAAATTCGGATTCATGCGGAAGAAGCCCTCACGGGAACAGCTAAGATTAATAACAACTAAAATGTAATTTATTAGAGTATAATATTTGTTCAAGCTACCTTTTAAGAAAGTAAATATTTTCCCGCTATGTTAAAAGTATTTTCAGCGAAGCCATCGAAAGGCCACTAAGAGCGTTGGCGGGAAATGGCACGAATCAGAAGGGATTTGACAAACCGTCAATTCCGTGCCCGAAATAAATGTAATAAGAAATGATTTTGGGGAAAACTTTCAGTAATATGACCTTTTGTTATAAAAATATCAAAATGTCGAACATTTTTCTCGATTGATAAACACAGTGAAATCTTCTACGGAAAATGGTAATCTTTATTTATGGCTGAGTGGAAAACGAAATCGCATTCAGCTATATTATTGCATTGAATAAATTTGACTGATGTTTATTTCTCATTGAAATAAATTCAACACTCAATGCGTCTTACATTACTTTTGATTATTCTTGTACTGATTTTGTGTAGATTTATTCTACAAGAAAATTGAAAAGATATTGCAATTTCACACAATAAAAGTTAAAAAAACTGTAGAAAAATACACATCGAGTAACTTCATTCACACTTGAATTCGAATTGTAATTAAAAAAATATTTACTACTAGCTTTCGTCCGCGGCTCCGTTTACGCGGAATAAATAAAAAAATGAGTAGCCTATGTATTCTTCCAGATTATCCTCTACATATATACCAAATTTCATCGAGATCCGTTCAGCAGTTTAGGCTACACTCTAACGAACATCCATCTAAACTTCCGTATTTATAATATTATATTCGTACAAGACTGACCTACGCTACCAGTAGCTGCTGTAGTTTGTATAGGAGGGGTGATATCTTCATTTTTTATGACGTTTATCGCAGGGTCTTTAGGCTTGTGAGTTTTATGTGGTTTAGCCGTGGTCGTGGTAAATTTCTTGGTCGGCTTAGGTTTGCCCGGCTTCTCCCAGCTGCCGGGTCGTGTTTTGGTCACAAATGTCGGCTCCGTCGTCGCCTGCCACTGTGTGTTCGCGTTGTTAGGTCGGGACATCAAATGCGCTGGAATAGTTATAGATTACTCAGATTTATTATACCATAAGTAGAAATCTTTGGTTTAATTATCAAAGAAAGTAGTTTTCTATTTTCATTTTTAAATTATGTACTAGTACACAATAGTAAATTCAAAACAATGTTTTACTTTAAGAACAGCAATAAAGGTTTATTTCATTTATTTATTAACTACTAGCTTTTGCTCGCGACTTCGTCCGCGTAAAATGTAGACTATGTAACTCACAAATAAATTACTTTTTTAGCGGTGAAAGAATTTTTTTAATCGTCCTAGTAGTTTTTGAGTTATTTTAATACATACAAAAATACAAATCTTCCCTGTTTACAATATTAGTATAGAAGAATTAAATCTTTACATTACTTCACTTCTATTCCTTTGGATTACGGGCGATATTGGCTTACCTGCACTAATACTGTTGTCTGGATGCTGCTCCGACACCGCCATGGGCCGTGCGCCGGCCAGTAAGCTAAGACTAGACGAAATTTTGTTATGAGGACTAGTTTCCATTTCGCCGCTTGGCCTATTTACATTTTGATACTTATTTACATTGTTATATGGTATTTTATTAACTATATCACTATTTTGTTCGCTACTTGATTCTATGCTTAATGAGGGTAAATTAATTTCTGGCGGTCTGTAATTATATGAAGGCGCGCCATCTATTGGCTTAGTCATAAACGACGGCCGCTGTGTTTGTGACGTCGGCCGCGGCGGCGCTTGTGTTGTCTCCGGCGGTTGCGTGGTGACGGCGCTCGATGACGCTATATACGGCCGGTCGGTGATTGTTGTAGGATTTTGTGTTTCTGGAAAAAATATGTTGTCATTAGCAAAAAACAGATGGCGTGATATTCAAGTAAATGTTAATTATTTTTAATTTGATACCTTCGATAAGAATAGGTTTGTCCGGTAATCGACAGCAGGAGCCGAACATGAAACCATCGACACAAACTCCGGCGTGTATGCCACCGACTCGATTGCATTCCTGCACCCACATACATGCGCCCCGCGCCCCGCCTACCGCACACGACTTGCGCGACATCTGGTAACCTGTAAACAAAATTCATAAATTTAGTGTCATAGTATTCTAAATAGATGGCGTTGAATTAAGTTTTTCGACACATAAAATACTGCCATCTGTTTTCGTAATTGTAAAATGTAAATTAATTTATATAAACAAATTACAGATTGCGGTAGTTGTATCAATAAAATATAGAAGGCAATTGTTCATTAAAATTAAACAAAGAAATGAGAATAAACAAAAAAGTAATTCAATTGTTAGTTGATAAAAAATATTAAAAGAACAATATTTTCAAATCTTCATGTAAATAGATTTAGTTTACTTAATTGACTAAAAGTGGCTTCTAATTCTGTAATTAATGCAGATTACTGCGTACGCTGAAATACGAAGGACGAGAACGTAAATTCATTCTTATATACCAGTCGTAATTCGCACCTAATAAACTGAGGTCAGGGAATCCTTCGATATATCCCAATCTATTGCCAAATTCCTTGCGGACTGCTAACGTAACATTTAATAAAATCACATCTCAAGACATAGAACAACTTAAAATGACCCTTAACTTCTACGAGTCATAGTTGTATTCCGCTTGGCAATTATTTGCAGTTACGACTTATAGTGTTTGATGTATCTTAGCCATTAGATAGATGAAAAATGTTGGCTGTGGTCCGCAGCGACACGCAACGTTCGCATTTCGCATTGCTTTTGGGTTATTTAATATTTAGCACACATTTCTTTTTTAGTGCTCTATACAACTGTAACTTAGCGACTATTACGCGTAGGAAATAATTATATCTTAGATGGATGAATATATGGATTTTCGTTAGAGTTTGTAGCCTATACTACTGAACAGATTTTGATGAAATTTGCCATAGATGTAGAGGATTGTCTAATAAATTGAAAATGCTGCGGTCACATTTTTCACGTCATTTTTAAAACGGAGCCGGAAACAAGAGAACTGCTTTTATTTGAGGCTCTGGACTTTACAATCTCGTTAAAAATGGCTTAACCTACTTCCACTTAGAATTTCCTACTAATGAGAGAAGTTTGTGCCAATTAAAACAGGCTTAAATACGTTAAAGTGCTTGAGGGGGTTTTGTGTTTTCATACATTTGTTGTAAAGTACTCAGAATTACTTTGTAGTCTATTTATTGAAAAAATGAGAAACATCCTGCCGGTATATTTAGTTTTAGTATAGATTTATTAGAAGTTATATATTTTACTTTCCATTTAGTAACAAAGGTGAATCAATTAAAAAAGTTTAGAAATTCACATGGATATAGATCGATATCAGTAAAATTAAATTATACAAACAAACAAACTACCAGATCTTGTGTAAAAGCGGTTGCAACTTATAGAAAATTGAAGTAGGCTTTCTATAAACTAGTAGCCAGATACGAGGGTCGTATTTCAAACGATTTATCGTTATTGGATATTATTTCTCGATGAAATTTCTCCATATTATACTCTAGGGATATTAAAGCAAATGATACATTAAATACAAATAGAAATAGGCTGAAATCCAGTCTGCTTACCCTTTCTATTTAAGGAAACAAAGGGAAAAAGAAACACGATTGCCAGACGACGTAAAACGTATAGGAAATTGTCTTTCTGTATGTACATATATGAATGAATGAATGAGAATGAATGAACGAGTATTTACTGTCACAAAAAAGTAATAAATTAAAAGGACTTAATCTAAAGAAAACACAATCATGGCAAAAGATAGTCAGCTCAGCGTATGCAGGACGGACTAAGCTATTCCTGCGCTGATTTTCAGCTGGTATATTCCCTCCTCTGTCCATTATTGCAGACAGACCTTTCAGTTGTATTACTTGTTATATTTTCGACAAAGTAATCTGTGCTAGTCTATTGTACACGTCTTTCCAGGACATTCTGTTTAATGAAATGTGTCAATATATAAGGAAGATATATTGATGAAATTCTTTACCCTTTTGTATAGAACTATTTTCAGCAAGAAACCGGCCTACTGTAGTACAATCTCCTGAATAATTAAATTCACATCCGTTGTGAAGGCTTTCAGTGTACCTCCCGAATGGGAAATAGAAGGTTTCCTACAACGCGATGACAAGGAAATACGGTCGTAAAATAGAAGTGTTTTGTAAGGAAAATTTTATAAGACAACATTATGAAAGAAATATACAACTAACTATCGCCAGTGACTGTCCTCGAGGATTAAAAAAAACCTTAATTAGTGGCCTATGTTTTCCAGACTATGATCTACATTTATGGTAAATTTAAACAAGATCCATTTAGTTGTTACGAAGATACTTACAAACATACATCTAAACATTCGCATTTATAATATTAGTAGGATACCCAAGAAGAAATGCGTTAAAAGGAATATTAAAGAATTACGTAAAAAGTAATTAAGAAATTCAAAAGAATAGAAGATTTAAAAACAAATGCCAACCTCATTAAAATGCAATTAAAACAATGGAACGTCGAAACAAGAAAAAAGATGGCGTATTTAAAATAATCGTAAGGGCGTCAGATATCATCGCCCAATAGTGAGAACATATCGGCTTTTACTTTTAATGACCGAGATTCCCTTAATTACAGTATTCATTCCAACATGCACTCAGTTTAACAATAGTCTAAATTACGTCTTCACACGAGACAAAATAAACAATTGTAAAATAGCAAAGAAGCAAAATTTTCAATTTTTTTCAGTCATATGGCGAGTGTGACACGATAATAATTTTCTATTTGGTTTTTTGTATAAAATTCTTTAAAATATTCAACAACTATTTATGTATTAATTAATTTCTTCAATCAGCTATCATTAGAATTTTCCTTATTCCTACTCAAATAATATGATACTTTTTCAAATAACCTTATCGCATTTTCTTATTCTTCGTGATTTATGAATGAAGCTTATGTAAGGGGCTCAATCCCCGTGCCAAGACGTTCCCTTTCAAACCACTTACGAATGTTACGATACTCGAATACTAATCATCTTCCTCTCATGATGTCCATTGCTTCTTTTGTAAAGTAACGTTAAGTGTTCCTTATATCACAAACAGTAATGGATCAAGTAATTAAAACTTACATTATCCATTGCTACATCTATAAGATAAGTGACTTTATTCATATTTTACATGGAAATGTTTAATTGGAAAGTACGTCTTGGACCTTTAACCAAAAACCAAAGCGATTCCATTTATATCACACTAGCTGTTCCCGTGCGGCTTCATCCGCCAATCCAAAATATTTACCTCCTAAGTTTAATAGTGTGAAAATATATAGCCTAAACCATGACGTCAGTGTAGCGTTTTTTTATTAAAGAAAGAATTATACAAAAACATGATGTGATTGCTGACATCCAACGCCCCGAAGTAGTTTGATTTTACGCTTTATTTTGTGAAAAAGTATAGAAGCATATATTTCAGTATGCTTTAAAAATTGTGTGTATAAAAATGTCAGCATTGTTCAAATGTATGACCCATGACGCAACAAACAACAAAGACAAACAGTTACAAAACGAAAATAACATCGTCTTTTGTAACAAAGAAAACGAAACCCAAACGAGAAGAACAACGAAATGTCTCTTATTAAGGTCAAAGCAAAATGCTTTATGCCCTAAAAAACATGTTATTTTTGAATTAGTATTGTGATGCGGACAATAGCTTACGTAATATAAGCAAATAGAGAGAGAAAAAATCTGTGCTTGTTGCTTAATACAAATAATCAAAGCAAAAACAACATTAAACCGAATCATAAAATATTATAAAATGCGAAAGTTTATGCGGATGATTGTTACAGTTTGTAGGCTAAACTGCTGGACGGATCTCTATAAAATTTCGCTTACTTGTCGGATAGTCTAGAAGAACACATAGGCTCCTTCCTTTTTTTTTATTGTTCACGTACGGTGTCGCGGGCGAAAGCTAGTGTTTAATTAAATAGAACCATAGTGTGTTAAATATTCCGCGTGTTTAGATGTAACAGAGATTATTCCATTGTTTTAAAATGTATCTCAGCGGAATATCCGCGGAAATGAACCCGGAAGTGGGAGATGAACCCGGAACTGTAGTCAGGTAGCGTCATTACTAACGGTGCGAGCAAATCATCGCTTAACTGTCAAGAGTCGGACAATTTAATTAGAATGTTTCTTGACGCTGTTCAAGTAGTCGCAGACGTAAGCTCATTAACTACTAAGAGAGCTTTTAGTAAAAGCTTTTCATTGCAAACTTTAGCGTTTGAGAGAGATTAAATATTATAAGGAATTTCCTGACACGTTTACAGCTTAAGTTTAAGTTACCTGCAGGGTTTTTAGTATTTATTTTATCTTTGCTGTTTATGATGCGACCAATGGGTTTTAAATAAACTAAATCGGTTACTCTTTCTTCAAGGAGTATATATAACATGACCTTAGTTAAATTTCTATAAAATACAGTCTCGTTTAACCACATTTTGCTTGAAAGCTAAGGCATTAGTAGAATTTATATAAAATTACTTTGTTGAGTACTGAGATGAGTTGGTGAAAAACGCTGCGGTTATGGTTTCCACCGCAACGAAATTTACAGACCTTTCTGCTAATTAAATTAACGGAAAACGCTTAAGAACAGTCGTAACAGCTTTTGTAAGTAATGAAATGTAAGTATATCTTACTTCTTACTAATATTATAAATGCGAAAGTTTAGATGGATGGATAGATGGATGTGTGTTAGAGTTTGTAACCTAAACGGCTGAATCAATTTCGAAGAAATATGGTACAGATGTAGAAATCAGTCTGGAGGAACACTTAGGCTACTTACTTTTGTTTTTTTAATTCCACGCGGATGGAGACGCGTGCGAAAGCTAGTATCATATAAATGTCACTTATTACAATGAAAATAAATGCATCCACTCATCAGAATGCGAATTACGTTACATTAAAATGATAGTCGGAATGAAGTGCATTTGTTACTGAATCTGAAAACTTCCAGCCATTGTGTTAAGATGTTCCGCAATTCTTTTGTACGGACAATAATGTTACGACTCTCTTATATAACTGTAGATTTTCCTT